CAGATGCTATGACACATGTCCTGTCTGTATTGGCTCAATCGACATTTTATAAGTCTAAAGAGTTGAACACTCCCTATGTTGGGAGTTGGGAGGGGGTTGCGGAAAGCCATCAATTGGAGAGAAGGGAGAAGTCTTTTTTGTTGAACAATCCACTACTGAAACCAATGAGCTAACTTGTAAAAAATGACATTCAAATTCCAGGAAAATAAAAAATGGAACTTGATGCTATTTTTCATATTTCTAGTTGACAATCAGGATAATAATGACCAGTACTGGTAATGCTGTGGAAAAACAGAAACTCTCATACAGTGGGAATATAAACATGCACATATACACAGCTTTCATGGGGAGAAATTCAAGAGTATTTAATATTATAAATGCACAATGTGCTTGATTTTGAAATATAGGAATATAAGTTAAACAGAAATATCGCTATCTATCTATCTATCTATCTATGTAATGCTCGAAGAAATTTGTTCAAGGGTGTTATGGTGAAAGTGCCAGCTTCTCTCTCTCTCTGTCTCTCTCTCTCTGTCTCTCTCTCTTTCCTTTCCTAAGTACATTATATTGTAAGCTCCCAGGGTTGACTTTTCTTTTTTGTAATGCAAACACCTAACTTGGGCTTTGCTGGCATAGGCATCCATATAAAAGAAAATCTACTTCAAAGAAGACTAAGTCAAACAAATTGCTAGAGGACAGATAAGATCCAGGCTGCTGCCCAACACTGGGACACCTTTTGTTTTGCAGATTCTGGTTGATTTTTGTTCCTCTCCCTGCTCTTGTAATTTAAACTTACCAAGAAATAGTAAGTCCAAGAAACCCTAAATTCTCTCCCACCCTAAGTCTTTATAAAAGCAAGACCCCAGGCCAGGGCCTTTCTCCCCAGAGCCTCCCCCCAACCCCTACCTTCCCGGGACCTCACTGTGGCCCAAGAGCTGTCTAATTTTCAGGTCTTCTAAGTAATAAACCTCTGTTTTTCAATGTTTTATAATTGTTATTGCTAAATATAATCCACAATCATAATAAGTCCTGTAAGAATAAATCCAATCATAATATTGGCTGGAAAAGGGGAAATGTCTGTGGGAAACTCACTTGGGCCCCATAAATGCCCTCAAGAATTTCTATTGACCAACACAAAACATATGTATTTAGTGGTAGTGTGATTAACTAAAAATTGACATATAAGCAGAAGTCGTCAACTTTTCCTTCTGCCCTAGCTTTCAGGGAACTGCCTGACTCCTTTCTTGTGGTTTCCTGCCAGAAAGTAACTTAGACCTGTGGCAAGTTTTGGGCCTCAGTCTTTCACTACAGGCTGAACCTGTCTGGCTGGGCATTTGCCTACAAAAGGGGAGGTGATATTTGGAGTTTTATTGCGAATCTGTTATTTGAAATTCTCTCTCTGTGTGTCTGTCATTCCTCCATTTCTTTACCAATTAAAGATATTTCACACTAAGAGTATGCTTTCTTTCCCTTGGTTCATGTGGGTGACTGTCACCTTAGAATATGCACCCCTAACAGTTTGGGGTCCCTGGGTACTCCTTAGTTACATACTTACAAACACATACACTAAGGAACAGAAAAATACAAGGAGCTTAGGACGCTGGTGCATCATAGAGTTACTATTTCTGCTTTGCACTGCTGCCCTGCAGATTTTTTTTGTGGACACAGGGGCAAAACAGTCACCAGTTAGAGCTCTCTTCCTAGCAACCAAGTGTATCTCTAACAGAAACAGATGTTGGTTTTAACATTGCTCTAAAACAAAGGACTAATGTAACGTCCTTTGTTTACCTGAAGCTTTCCAGGTCCAATTCCAGTCTCAGTACAGGAGAATCCTGACATTGAATGGTTTATTCTCACAAAGACTTGAGCTTTACCCCAGGTCAGCACATTCCTCTCAAGCTGCTGGAGAACCAAACTTGTAGTGCAAATATTTTTAGACTTCTAGAAAAGAAGACATGAAGTAAACACGATTTAATAATGATAAACTAAATAAAACCCCAAATTATATCAACAAAAATTAAGAAGTAGTAGAGAGAAAACATGCTTAGTTGTCATTGATGGGAAAGTAAATACACATATCTTTCTATTCATGGCACTGATAATTAAAGTTGAAAATAGGTCCAAACTGTATTTTAAAATTTACAGGAAACCACTAGTAAAATTGAACATAGCATGTTTACTTTTAAAATCATTGGGCAAAACAAATGCAAGCAAATAGCAAATATCAGTTGTCTATGAAAAACAAATGAAACGATTTTAAGCAAGCACTCCCACCACATGAATATTAATTTAGGAATTGTAATTTTTAAAGCATATGCAAAAATAAAATCTATAAAACTGTGAAGTGTCCATATCCATGAAATAAGCAACATTTTAGTATCTTACAATTCATAATGGCTTCACACAACATTAACTAATACCTGAAGGCTCAATATGCATGAAAAGTAAGAGTTGTTATTAGTAACAGTGGAGAAAAGTCCATATTTTAGATGGTTCTTGAGTTTTTTGGTCAAGTTTGAGTTTTTGAATTCAAAATTTTCAGCTACAGACACCTAGAAACTAAGAACATTTAGACTGTTCACGTTATTCCTCTATGTCACAGCAAAGCTAACAACAATGTCAGTGTCTCTTAGAGATACACTCAGCTGCTGCCAGGAGAGAGCATTTCATGGTGACCTGAACAACTTTGAATTTTGGTGAATTTCTGTCCAGCTTAACTGGGTCATCTATTTGGCCTCACAATGTGTTATGAAGGGTCACACTAGGTGGGAGAAGTATCAACTCTGCTGTTTTCTTCTCTGTTTATTGGTGTTGTCTTGTCTACAAATGTCAGGGTATCTATTTACACCACTGTTTTGGTTAGCACAGTGATATCCTGCCCTGTGTATACTGAGCTCCATGGATTTGTCCTCTAGGTGGGTGATTGGGCTGAATCACAGACATTGGCAAGGTGCAGTGCACAAAGGACATTTATTTCCTGTGATAAGAAAAAGCAGCGGCAAGAGTTGTGTTTCAAAGAAACTATGGAAAATATGAAACTTTGTCAAATACCAATTTTATTTATGGTTAAGAAGCTTGTGTACAAGGTGACCTATGCCTGATAACCTGGGCAACATGGGAAATTTCTGGACTGTCACTACCCTGCCCTCCCACCTAGACCACAGGCATCTGAAGCTGACTAAACAAGAGTGAGAACATGTTCTGACCCCTGACCTCAGACCTCACACTTTCTCCTGGGTGGTTCTCTCACACATGACTATCTGAGAAACAGATCAAAAGGCAGGCCAAGCCAAGGGCCCGGGGATTTCTCTTACATACTAGCAGTGGATTTTCTTTTCATCATAAACAGAAATGTAGACATTCTTCTATTTTCTTATACCACAAAGGATCATCCCACACAACACATTGTGGAGATCACTGCTTTACCTAAGCAGTGATCTTTTTATTTCATTTAAAAATGCATAGAACATTTCATTTAAAAATGAAATGCATTTTTATTTCATTTAAAAATGCATAGAACATACCCAGAACAACTATGCATATGACTGATTAAATGGGCAAAGGAATTGAATAGACATTCTTAAAAGAATACGTATAGATGGTCAAAGGTACATGCAAAGGCCCTCGGCATCACTAGTCCTCAGAGGATGCAATGTAAAAACTACAGTGAGATGCCCCTCACACCTGTGAGAACGGCTCTTATCAAAATGACAGGAGCCAACATGTGTCCCAGAGGCTCTGGAGAGAGCTTTCGTGCACATGTAAGTGTGTGCATGTAAATGGGGCAGACACTATGGAAGCATAATGGAGGTTCTCAAAAAATGAAAAATAGAATCAGCATATGATTCAGCAATTCTACTCCTGGAGATACATCCATGGGAAATGAAATCATTACCGTGAGGAGACACCTGCACCCCTACATTCATCACCAGATGAGGAGATAAAGAAATTTTCATATATATTGTACATTTATATATCATTTATAGATTATATATGTGTACATATATATGTTATACAATTGGCTCTTGAACAACCCAAGTTTGAACTTTGTGGGTCCACTTTTATGCTGATATTTTTCCTACCTACCAGTTGAGCAATCATATATTCAGCAGCCACAGATGTAAGGTGGTTTAATCCACAAATGCTGAACCCGTGAATATGGAAGGCAGACTGTAAGTTGCACATATACATGTAATTATTGAGTATATACATCTGTATATATTTATATAGATATATACTTAATTGTATTCATTAGAATTGGATTTTATTTAGCCATAAAGAAGGAAATTTTGCCTTTTTGATAAGATGGAGGAACCTGATGACTAGGTGAAATAAGTCAGAAAAAACAAAAATGACAGAAAAACAGTCTTACACGTTGACTCTAAAAATATTGAGCTCAGACATGGAGAGTAGAATGGTGCTTGACCGGGCCTGGGTGGGAGAATATGGGTGTTAGTCAGTGAGGTCAAGCTTATAATATGATAAGGGCTGGGCATCTAGTGCACAGCATGGTGACTGGTTGACAGTACTGTGTTAAACATTCGAAAATTGCTAACAAAACAAATCTTAAATAAGACAGTAGACCTTAAATATTACCCTCACACATGAAATAAATGGTGATTGTGAGGGGATGGAGGTGGCAGCTATCCTCACTGTGTTGATCATTTTGCAAATATGTGTGTATTGAATCATTGCATCTTACACCTTAGAGTTACATGTTTTATGTCAATAATATCTGGATAAAGCTGGTTGAAAAGAAAGCTGGTGAGGTGTAATAATAAATGATATTTATTCTCCTGTACAATTTTTTGTGTTTTCCAAGTCTTATATAATCAACATGGATTGTTCTTTTCAGAAAAAAGAAACTAATCCTGATTTCAAAACAAAACAAAAACAAAACAGCACCCTGGCACTCCAGGGTGCTGGAGAGCAGAGCTTGCAGCAGGATGGAGGGGCGGGGCAGAGGAGGAGCCACCATCAAAACTAGCTCCTGCCGCTGTCATGGACTCCTCACGCAGCAGCAGCTGGTTCCCCACCCAGACCCTGATGCTCCTTCTCTGTGAGTAGCGTACAGCCGGGCTGCTCAGGGTGGGACTGGAGGAGGCTGAGGTGTGAGGGCCACAGGTGGGTGGCCAGGGCTTGGTTGGTACTGACAGGTGGTGTGTGAGGGCCGTGGGCCAGGGACAAGGGCTGAGGGCCTTGCTGGGATGCCTGCAAGTTTCTCAGAACAGGAAAATCAACAGCCAGCCTCTGTTTCAAAAAGCAGTCATCTGCCTGCTCTGTGATAAGAGCATTTTCCAGGTTCCTGTTTTGTTTTGTTTCTTTGGTTTGTTTTTGAGGAACATACTCCACAGGCTGCCACTCTTCTCTCCATCCCTTCCCTACCCACAAACTCTACTTCCTTCTACTCCTCCCAGGTCGGGGAGGGCATGAGTGGAGGAGAGTGTGGGACCACGAAACTCCCCCTCCCCCATTGCCAAGTTATCTGAGCCCCCTGAACTATGGCCCCGTCTGCAGAGGTGAGGTGGGGGAGGCAAGGGAAGTGTGACCCCCCCTGTCATCTGCTGGTGACCTTTAGGTGCGGTTACCAGCTGTTTCCAAGCTGTAGTGGTGGTTGTGTGCTCTAGATACTGCACCCTGTGACCCAGGCCCCCTGCCTTGCCCCCAAAACCTGCTATAGTAGGAAGAGGGGTGAGCTCTGCAATCAGACCCACTGGGGCACAAATTCTGGCTCAGTCTTGTGTTGGCGGTAAAATCTTAGACAAATCATGTGCACCCTGGGACACATGATTTTGTCTTTCTGAATTTTAGCTTCCTCACCTGTGAAATGGCAGAATAATACCTAACTTGAGATATTATTTGGGAGGTTAAATAAAGTCATGCACATTCCATGTAGACATAGAATTCTGACATAGGAAAATGGACTAGCTGTGTGCGTGGATTTATAATTTTATATCTTCATGAAACATTTGCAAATAGATACTGTAAATGACAAAATATACTGTTCTCTTTTTGTCTCATAATTGAGCTGTATCACAGCCCAATAATTTAAAAACTAAAAAGACTTTCCTTTGGGACTGAGGTGATTGCAACAGACTTCCCTCTGCCCCCACACTCCACCTCCTGCACAACGGTCAGTGTTGCAAAGGCAGCTCCCCCCTTGCAAATCAATGTGTAATATTCCATCAGGTTGTTATATGAGCAAGGATATGAGCTGATGAAGCATAAAGAAAAAAGCAAATAAGATAATATGGCATGGAAAATAGTTATTTTCACAGGTAAATTAATGCAAATAAGACTGACATCCTGCTTTACCTAGCAGGTGAGGACAGGTGTTTCTACTCACGGCAGGGCTGTGGGACAGGGCGGCCCCACTCTGTATTATAGGCACATTTTTTTAATGAGTGAAAAGCTTTTTGGTAGTTCATTTAATGTGTCAGAAACTTTAAAAACTTCTCCTTTTCCTTGGTAATTCCACTTCTGGGATTTATGGCAAAGAACCTACCATACAGGAGAAGCTGATGCACAAAGACATACATTTGTTTGGTTTAATCACAAAAAAAATTGGAATCCAATACAAGGATAAATGAAAGTGACATGATGTCAGTGACTGCTGTGGGGGTGCAAGAGAAATCACCCCTACTGCCCTGAACCCTTCTCAGGCTGGAGGGGCAGTCGAAACAGCATCAGGTGGGTCAGCAAAGGGAAAACAATTTCATGGCATACATATGGAAAATGCACATGGACGTAAACCCTAAAGAATAACTGAGAAGACAGGAAAGTTTATCCTGCATTTTAGGATCTGGGGCATTAAGGACAGAGAAGGGGAGACTTCACGTGACTGACAAGAAGGGGTGACCTCATGCATATTCTGAGAAAGGATGAAATTCTTAGAGAACAGGATTGCTGATAAACCTAGAACTGGATGAGCCCCCCAAACTGCTTTCTTCTAGATCATGAAAGGGAGGAAGTGATTGCTTCTTCCACTCAGAAAAGGGCAGCAGCTTAGGACAAGCTGCTCTCCTCTTCATTAGAAAAGGACAGTGGACTTGAGCAAAAACAGAAGCTTCTCCTAGGCTTCAGGGCCTTCCCTGCTTCCCTGAAGAACCATCTGCCTTCTTTAAGGAAAGACAGTAACCCTCCTGAGGCTCACAGGCCATGATCGACCTGTAGTTCCCATCCCAAGGCAATAAGAGTCCTACTCCAGGACTGTTGAGAACATCTATGTGACCCTTTTGGGGGGCCTGACTCCACACCTCCACAGGTAGCAGAGCTGGCTGGTGATTGAGTTGGTAAGAAGGCCTGCAAGGAGGAGATAGCTCCAAGCCCGCGCTGCGCAGCCACCAGCCCAGGATTGCCAGAGGGCCATGCATGCCCTGCCCAGCCCCACACCCCACTTATTTCCCATGGGCTGGGGAGGAAGTGAGGGGGAAGGGTCAAGACGAGGAAAAAGCCCTGCCAGTACCAGGCACTGTGACAGGTATTGGGGGATACAGCTTTCCCCCAGGTAGTAGATGACACTGTCCTCACGTTGGGTTCAGGGAACCAAGGCCCAGTGGGGCCCACGAAGGACCTGAGGTCCCGGCACTGCTGAGTCTCAACCAGGATTTAGCAGCATCGCCCTGTTCTGCCTGGGCACAGAGAACTGAGACTCGGCTGCATGTCTCTCCTAGCCTAGTCCTCCCCCTGGATACACACACCCATCCCTGGCCTGTGAATTAGGGCCAGGAGCCACTTCTATGTAGAAGGAATCACTCTTCCTTCACAGCTCAGCCCCTCTCTTCCTCCTGCAGCCCCTCAATGTGGACACAGATGCTTCCCTTGGCACTTTGCCTGCTTCTCTTCTCTGTCATTTCCTCCTCAGCAGATGCTGCCATTTGCCGGTTAGGGTCATGGAGTCTGGGCCCTCTGAGCAGTTCAGGGAGACTTGCTGCATTTCTATTGAGATGCAGTTATACCCAGGCCCATTCTGTCCCCAGAGCACTCCCCCTGCTCTGTCATTACTGTTTGTCATTACCCAGAGGGCTGAGTGGGTGGCAGGATGAGGGGCATGCAGGAAGCCACCTCTGGCCCAGCAGCCTCTGTTTCTGTGCTATTGGTTGCCCAACAACGACCGAGGACCGGAAGCCCTATAGAGAGAGCTGCAGCTGCTCCTGCCTCCGTGGGTATTAGTTTCACCTGAATTCACAGCAGTTTAGGGCAGCCATGCCCAGGCTGTAAAAGTCCCACATGATGGGGGGGCAGGCAGGGAGGTGACTGGCTCCCAGTGGCTGGAGCTACACTGTTCTTTCCATTCCTTAAACACTAAAACAACAAAACCCCTTTCCTCTAAACAAATCCTGGGTTTACGCAGATGAGGCAGTGCTGGGTTCATGATACACTCATTAAGGTCTGAAGTTGGATTAGTGAGCTCTTGTTCTTTTATTAAAACATTTTTTTAATTTTTAAAACATTTAAAGGATATGAAATCATGTTTTTATATTTAATTTCAGGTGCTTAAAAGTTTGCAGGGGGAAAAAATGAATGGGCTGTGTTTGCATGCAGCCTCAAGGCTGGGCCCAGGATGTGCTGGTGTAGAGGATGGATAAAGATGAGCTGTAGCCACATGCTCTTCTGCAGTTGTTATTGGATTTGGTTCTGATCCTGTTATAGGTTCCAGAACACACTAGAAACTGGAGCCAGGACTCTGGATCATGTAAGAATTGTGGCACCAACATCTCTCCAGTGTTTTTCTATGTTTTCTTATAACTTGTGACTCCATCTTCCTGTTCATAGTAAAGGATCTTTTCTGAAGTCTGTGAGAAATATGTGCTTAATACATGTATTTAAATGTAATGGGGAGAGAGAGAGAGAGAGAGAGAGAGAGAGAGAGAGAAGATGGGGTGGAGAGGAGGCTGCACGCAGCTGCAAAAGCACAGACAAAAATGTAGCTTCCCTGTTGTGTGTCAAATTCTAGAAGTTTCAATACCATTGTTGGTTTGTGGAAATTCCCTTATTCCTGGATTCTGTCCACTTTCTATCTCTCTAATTATTTAGTTCCCTGTTCAAAAGACCAAACACTGCTATGGGGAAGCAAATTTTCTCTCAAAAGTGTTTTGTCTGCAAAGGAAAACCCCTTGAATCATTGCCACTAGCACACAAGCATGGTCTAGTGTCTCCAATGTCTCAAAAACTCTCCTTTGAAAACCTAGATACTCCTAAGAAGAAATTAAAAAGGAGAGAACCACATGTATAAAGGAAAGACTATTAAGAGACTATTTTAGTTAATTTTACATGCATGTATGTAAAATGACATTGATCAGACATTTATCAGTGACATTGATCAGAGCAAGACACTTCTCTTTATTTATTTCTTAGGTCCCTAAATCCTCCAGTGGTTAATGCTATGAACCTACCTTGAGATTTCGTGAATCCCTTTGTATTCAGGGCATTTATATTGGGAGTCCACAATGGTGGCAGCCATGGAAAAAGATACACACACACACACACGTATGTGTGTAGGTATAAATATGCATGTATAATATATATACATATACATTATATATATTATTTTTAAATATAAAGCTCATTGGATGAGAGCTGCACCTAAGGGAGCAGAGCTCAGATCTGAGAGTAATTTACCCATTGCCATCAAGAGTGAACTCAAAGGATTCAGAGGAAACCTTGACTGCCTGTCTCCTTGCCCCCAATTCCTCAGAAGTCAGCTTTGGTTCCCATCTTTATCACCAAAAACAGTTAGAAATGATTAAAGTACACAAGTTAGGCTATGCAAACCAACCTTATTTAATACTTTGTGAAGTGGGCATTCTCCATTCTTAAGGAATAGGTGGAAAAGAATGACTATGGAAGAGAAAAATAGAAAATGAATAAGGAGCAAGCAACTAAGTAGAGTGTCTAGAGCTGATTGGTGTTTGGGATTAGCTGACTGTGTACTGCATTTCTGGTCAAGTTACCATTTAGAGGGATAAGAAAATTATTACATTTTGGTTTGTTGATATGGTACTCAGGGCAATAATGGGTCCATCTTAGGTCTAGAAATTTATTTCAACAGATCAGAGA